GTTGGATGCACAATGACCAATCTTCTGTAAGTACATGAGAGTTGTGCAGATTGAGGATGGAAGGTGCGAGAGTGAGACGTGTTTAATTAGAAGGTGCTTTACCGTTTGTGTCTCGATTGATGGGATTTGACGATGGGATAATATGGGGTATTTTTAAATTTAATAATCTCTTTGTGGGAAAAGAATATTTTTTCGTGACAATGTTTTGTGGTCTTCGTGATAAATGAATGTACTTTTTATTGAAATTTCATTTGTATCTTCCTCGCATATTATTTAGATTTGTATAATACTTTCTACAGAATTTTATTATTGGAATGATATGACATACTTAAGAATTTCTTAAAGCCCCTCCATATGAATAGAATATTTTTGTCGTTAGAATTTCATTTGTACCACTGTAATATCTGTGCACTCACGTACAACTCAATCTTGCAAAATTAAAAAATTAATAGAACTCGACTATTAAGACTATATAGGATATTTAGGAATTTTCCAAAATCTTAATGACTAAAAACTATTTTATCGTTAGAATTCCATTTGCACCCCTGTAATACTTGTGCACTCATGTACAACTCAATCTTGCAAAATTAAAAAATTAATAGAACTCGAATATTAAGACCAGATATAATATTTAAAAATTTTCCAAAATCTTAGAGACTAAATACTATTTTGTCGTTAGAATTTCATTTGCATCCCTGTAATACCTGTGCACTCACGTGCAACTCAATCTTGCAAAATTAAAAAATTAATAGAACTCGAATATTAAGATCATATAGGATATTTAAGAATTTTCCAAAATCTTAGTGATTACAGATTATTTTGTCGTCAAAATTTCATTTGCATCCCTATAATACCTGTGCACTCACGTGCAACTCAATCTTGCAAAATTAAAAAATTAGTAGAACTCGAATATTAAGACTATATAGGATATTTAAGAATTTTCCAAAATCTTAGTGAGTACAGATTATTTTGTCGTCAAAATTTCATTTGTATCCCTGTAATACCTGTGCACTCACGTGCAACTCAATCTTGTAAGATTAAAAAATTAACAGAATTTGGTTATCAAGACCAGATAGTATATTTAAGAATTTTCCAAAATCTTAATGACTAGAGATTATTCTTTTCGTAAAAGATTCCACGGTATATTTATCGAAATATAATCGACAAAATAGAGGTTGGGGGGTAATTAAAAAATTTCACCGAAGCTTCCTGCTCAGAAAAACTTATGAAATATTCGTCTCGGAAATTCCATTCGGATCTTTCGCAATGCGCTTTTTCGCGCGTAACAGAGCCTCATTCCCCTAGAATTCTCCACGAATCCGCGATCTCACCCCATAACCCCCGTGACTGCGTGCGCTGACTAAGCCAGGTGGAGGTAAATACACTCGCCGGTGGAAACGAGCTCGGCCATCTTTTCCCGGATGTGATTTAGATAGAGAACGGTAGGCCGTGCCCGGAATATAAATTGAAAGCTTACCTCGCGTAATTTCATTCTATTTAACCCGAATTCGTTTTCTCTCTGCGTATCGAGTGCTGGCGTCAAAGGAATTCTCGCAAGGGCAAGATGTTTCCTTTGCGACGCAATCTTCCTCTTCCTTCTTTGCCTTTTCCGGCTCGGGGAGTCCGAAATTTACGGTCTACTTGGCGAACAATTTCGGAAGGCTGCAATTTCGAACGAGGAATTCCGTGAGAACACTCGCGTCCATTATTGATAATGCGAAATTTATATGAAATTTATGCGAAATTTATAATCTAAGAAGATGAAACGCATCCTTTGATGTGGAAAAGAAAAGCTTAGGTATTTCCTCTTTTAAAGACTTCGAAGGTTAGGTTAGGTCAACACCCCCGAGTAAATAGGGGGTGTCGCGGTGCGCGGATAGGGTACGAAATGAAACAAAACATTCCAATTTAAGTTCAAACTAATACTATTTTATTTTTGGTGGTTTCGAATATTTATAACAGAATTTTGGTCGGTGGAAGGGGACCTAGGGTTCATGGATCCTCTACTATCTTGTAGTGCCAAAGTTTGAGTAATTCACTAGGACTGTGTCAAAGGTCTGGGACCACTGGCCGTCTATCTTGTAGTGCCAAAGTTTGAGTTATTCATTAGGGTTGTATCAAAGGTCTGGGACCACTGGCCGGTTATCTTGTAATGTCAAAGTTTGAGTAACTCACTAGGACTGTATCAAAGGTCTGGGACCACTGGCCGTCTATCTTGTAGCGCCAAAGTTTGAGTTATTCATTAGGGTTGTATCAAAGGTCTGGGACCACTGGCTGATTATCTTGTTATGCCAAAGTTTGAGTAACTCACTAGGACTGTATCAAAGGTTTGGGACCACTGGCCGGTTATCTTGTAATGCCAAAGTTTGAGTAACTCACTAGGACTGTATCAAAGGTCTGGGACCACTGGCCGGTTATCTTGTAATGCTAAAGTTTGAGTAACTCACTAGGACTGTATCAAAGGTCTGGGACCACTGGCCGGCTATCTTATAGTGCATCACAACGTGTCACAAAGGCAACGATTGAGGTCCCTGTATGTTTGTTGGCCCTATGGATTTAGGTTGCGTCACAGGGGTCTGCTTTATGTCTTTAAATGACATAATTGCGCCCCTTGACTCGCAGACACGTGGACCATCTCGAATGCTTGGGCTACCCCCTGAGAAAGACAATTCTCATTTGCAATTAGACCATGGGACAGAACTATAGGGGTCCCCCGCAGTGGGGGTTATTATGTTCTGTCTTATTGTTCCTATGATTCTGCTAATTTTCCTTTCAACGCCAACATACGAAGAAAGACACAAATCGTGTAACATGACAACGTAAACTGTACAATTTTCCAAAAACTAATCAAACATTCGCGCGAAATAAAATTGCAACTGTCGCAAAATCAAACGTATCTGTCGACAAGGCTCGTCCCCAACTCGCGAGAAAGTATTCTCGCCCTCAGATATTTTTAAGGGTGGATTGGAAGTTGGATTCGCGTATTCTCGGAGCTCGCGAAAGTTTGCGAGACTTCGAAATTCTCGGGACTGCTGAAACTCTCAGCTCGAAGTCCTTGTTTTATTTCAATAAGTCTTCCAGGAAATTTGAAAAATGTATCTAACATTTCAACTCTTTCTGCATCTAATTTACTTTATTTAATATTTTTCTCGGTGTGTCGAACAGTCTTTCAGAAATTGTTCTTCCATACTGTAAACGACTCTTGTATATTTTTCTTCTTTGGTTTTTTGAGGAATTGCAAAATTTTGGGTTCGTAGAAATTTCAAGGGTTCTCGTAAATTATATAAATTCGATATTTCATATTTTAGGGAATTTTTGATCTCTTTCGCTTGGCTCCCGAGATTTTCCAATATTTCGCGAGAAAGTGGGAAATTTCTGATTTGATAAAGCACAAAATTTCGTGGACTTTGTCTCGCAGAGGAAGGGGTAGTTTAATACAATTTTTCTGGTCGAAGGGAAGCGAAAAATTTCGCGAAGTGGTTAATTTTTCCGAATCACGAAACGATGCACGATCGATGGAAGGATCATACGTCTTTGTCAAAAAGACGGACGGCCATTGGCTCGGTTTCTGAAGTAATTGATGACATTAAAAATTGTGAGGGCAGCCGCGAGTACCTTTCGTTAGGTGGTCAAATTTTGAGTAACTCGTGGAATAGGTTCCCGACGTGGCAACTCGCGAGTGATTTTTCACTCTCCTCGGGCCCCCTTTTCCTTATTTATCTTCCACGAGCCTCGAAATTCGCGTCACGCCATTCGTCTCTTTCAGGGAAGACGTATGATCCTTGATTTCGCCTGCGAGTATTCCCGACGCATTAATCCTGGCCTGAAAATGGCGGCTGACCTTTATATTCCGGACGAATAGGAGGTGCCCTCGAAGCTCCCGCGTTTACGATCGAACCCCGAGGACGAGCGCGGGAAAAACGAATTAGCGAAATAAAACACGCTCAACTCTTTCGTGGCGTTAAAAATTTTACGACAGGACATTTGCGAACTACGGTATATCCTCGATCTCTTAGCGGGATGATTCTCGTTAATCCGCGAACTTTGTTCTCCAGCCGCTCCCTCCATCCTCGTTCTCATCATCGTTGCCTTTAAATACGGAAGATTGTCCCGGGAATATCGGTCAAGTTCTCCATACTAATTCGCGATTGCTGAATCGCTTCTTGTTGCGATTAAACGTCTGAATTCTGAATTCTAAGTTCTGAATTCTGAATTCTGAGTTTTGAGTTCCGAGTTTTGAGTTCTGAATTCTTAGTTCCGAGCTCTGAGTTCTGAGTTCTGAGTTCTGAATCATGAGTTTTGAATTCTGAACCTTGAGTAGTGAATTCTGTGCTCTGAATTCTGAGTTTTGAATTCTGAGCCCTGAGTTCTGAATCCTGGATTCTCAATTCTGAGTACTAAATCGTGAGTTCTGGATCCTGGATGCTGAATTCTAAGTCCTGGAATCTGAATACTGAGTTCTGAGTTCTGAATCGTGAGTTCTGAGTTCTAAATTCTGAGTCCTGTATCTCGAATTCCAAGTTTTGATCTCTGCATCCTGAATTCTAGTTCTAAATTCTGAGTTTTGAATTCTGAATTCTGAATCGTGAGTTCTGAGCTCTGAACTGTGAATTCTGAGTTCTAAATTCTGATTTCTCAGTCCTGAATCACAAGTTTGGAGATCTGAATCCTGAATTCTGGTCCAAAATTCTGAATTCTGAATTCTGAATTCTGATTCGTGAGTTCTAAGTCCTGAATCTTGAATTCTGAGTTCCAAATTCTGATTCCTGAATCCTGAATCATGAGTTTTGAATTCTGAACCTTGAGTAGTGAATTCTGAGCTCTGAATTCTTAGTTCTGATTACCGAGTTCTGATTACCGAGTTCTGAGTTATGCAACGGTATAATCCCGAGAAATGGAAAAGGGAGAAACACGAAAAATAGTATGAGAAAGAATATGAAAGAAACATGAAAACACAATGAGAGAGGGAAAAGATATTAACAAAACGATTTTCATTCCAGGACGAAGCGTGCATCAGGGAGAGGGATGGTCCCGAGGGCGTGTGCGACTCGAAAGCCTGCGAGGAAGCCTCGAAGCGGATGGTGGCGTTCATGAAGAAGGGGATGGATCCTTGCAAGGATTTTTATCAGTTCGCGTGCGGCGGTATTCGCGATCAGCAGCCGTATCAGCCTAGCTCGAGCTTCAACATGCTTCAGGCGAGGGTCGACGATCATCTTCACAGTGAGTGAACCATCCTCGTTGCTCATTTTTTTTCCATTAAGGTACCCCTGCCGCGTTGTTCGGCTGCTTCTATAGCGAGTCCCTCCCTCCAAAGCGGAATATTTTCTCGTATACACAGAAATACGTACGTTCGTGCTTGAAAGTATTCAGACGTCTGTACGCGCTGTTCTTAATAAGCGACATATACGCGCCGAATTGAAATATTCGAACGATCTTGATGTACACAGCAAGAAGGAAGTCTGGAGATCATAATAGTAAAATTAAAAAATAATCCATTCACGCATATAACATTTATAATATATTTACTGCGAACATGTGTAAACGTATGTAACATGTAAGAAGCAGGGATATAAGGGTTACTTTAAAGTATCGTAACACTGCAGAAAAAAATCGTAGCTACTTGATTCTTTTTTCAAATTGAAGAGAAAGATTAGATCTTCAAGCCATTGTAAATTGCATTTTCGAAAAAAATGTTACGGTGCCCGTATGTTACGTCAAACTTTGAAAATATCAATGTGCCTAACATAGCCCCAAATTTAAAGAGTTGCAATAGTCAAGTTATATTAAACCTAAAATCTAGATAGTCTTAAAATAGAGATTTCAAGCTTCATTTGGAAAACAAAATTATCATCCTACGATAATTTTTGACGGAATTATCGTAAAGCAAAGTTGACCAATTTTTGTCCAAAATTTTTCTGTGCCATAGCTTTCTTGAGCAATATATTAGTCAAAAATACGTTTAACTAAAGGATAAGAAGCTTCAATATTGCCTTGGTTCATCCCCTGTTGCCTATAACAGCCCCAAGAGCATTTGCCATTTAACTCACTAGCGCCACCACGGCCAGTAACTCCATTAAACGCGAATATCTCGCATATCCTTGAACAATTTCCCAATTTTACTCTTACAATCTTCGAATAATTCAGGTACACTCATTCACGACTGACTATCGAGTGCATATTTCCTCAAAATAAAATCCCCGATGCAATTTCCTCTCGGTTTCAGACCCCGTTGATATCCGCCAATTTCAGCCCAGTCCGTATTTCACTTATCGAACTCAAACCAGTGTATCTACTCGAATATTTTCGTGCATAACTGTATCTCCGTCGATATTTTACGCTTTTTCGTCTCGTTTATAAAAACAGATCCATCTGTAGCGTTCGGACGAGCTCGTTACACCGTGGAAATCGATGAAACCGAATTTCGAGGGTCGGAATTAATTTCTTGCCCTGTATAGAGCGGAAAAAATTGGCAGAGCTTCCACGGTGAAAGCTTGCAGGTCGAGGAGGGATAATTGATTCAGAAGCGCGGGCAAATTTCCCGCCGTCGTTTAAACTTTCAATTAACCGAACGCTCGCGAGGCATTCGCTACGAAAGTTTCAAGTATTTCATCCCCGGTCGCGTCGCTGTTTGCTGCGCCATGTTGGATCGGTCACGGAATCAGTTCGTATCGCGGAACCCGTGAAGCTAGAGGAGTCCCCGTCTTCCTTTTGCACCCCGAGTTATATCTCGCTCACCCCCCGACATCCAGCTCATCCACTTCGACGACCTTAATCAGCTCGAGTCCGCGTCCTTAGACACGGTGGATGAAAGGTCGCCGTTAAAAATTTCGTCGTTGCGCTTCCTTTCAGTGCTCGCTTCTTTTAAACTGCCTCGTCGGCTCCCTTTTCGTAATCTGTTGCTTCCACTACCCTACTTTTTATGGCCTCCGCGAGGAGTTTGATCGGTGGGGGTGGTTGAACGAGGTCGAGATTCAATGGAAATCGGCGGGAAAATGCAATTGAACGGTGGATGAGTTGAGTAAATTATAAGGTAAACGCGACATTCTTGGTTGGTTTGATTGTAACACTTGGTTGGGTGTGACGTGTCGTATGTGGTGACCACAGTCACGCATTCGTCGTTAGAGGGATTTGTGGAGGCTCTCCAGTGCTCGGTGAACCCTCTGTTTCCTGCAAATAGAAATTTTCAAAGTGTCACTGAGATCGTCATATTTAAGGCACGGATCTGCTAGGTAGCCTTAGGTGACTTAGTTCTTTCTCACCCCTTCCTTGGATCAAAAATAGTTGCCTAGGATTTCCGATCATAATCAAAATGACATCTGGTAAGGGCTACCTGTCGCATAGACGACGACGCGACGAAGGGTTACGCCAGTGCTCGGTGAACCCTCTGTTTCTTACTAATAGAAATTTTCAAAGTGCCACTGGGATCGCCATATTTAAGGCACGGATATACTAGGTAGCCTTAGTGACGAGTCTGCTAGCAGGCCCAGGAAACGGAAACGTATGCCTTCATTCTATTCCATATCGTTCTTTCTCACCCGTTTCTTGGATCAAAAATAATTGCCCAGGGTTCCCGGTCATAGTCAAGATGACTATAGTCAAGAAGACGTCTGGTAAGGGCTACCTGTCGCATAGATGACGCGATGGAGGGTTACCCACTCTTAGGTATAGAAGAACCGACTCATTGTAAAGACTGATTATTGTAAAATACTTTAATACCTTGACTATTATGATGGTCTCCAGTGTCAGGCACTTGTCTCGCGTGGCTCAGTGTGGCCATGGTGGTCATTAGTGATTGAAGCACTATTATTTTCAGGTTAGGTTTTAGACAGGTTTGGGTCCAGATTTTAGTTATGTTTGAATAAGGATTTGGTCAGGATTGGATTTAAATCTTAGTCCAATTTAGGTTAGGATTTGGTCAAGTTTTGGTTTAAATTTTAGTCAGATTCAGGTTAGAATTTGGTCAGCTATGGATTTCATGTTGTCCCACGACACTTCTCCCACTTCCAATAATTTCAAACACATTCCTTTTTCAAGAATGTATCATTTTTCAAGGCGTGGAGCACCTTCTGTGTTATACCGAGTCTTATAAGACTGTTGGCTACCATACTTATTCTTCAACGATAATAACAACTGTATTATAATAACGATTATAGTTACAACAAATTAAAACGCTCTGGAGGAATCGATGGGAAGTATGAGGAACGGTTAGAATCGATTGAAAGCGATGTCGAGAGATTTGCCGGTTGCGTCGGATCTCGATAATTCGGACGAAACGAAAGGCGAATTATCGAGATTCCGATATATTCCGGCACGACTACGCGCGAGTAAACAGAAGACGAGCCAGGGCAATGTAGGTCACACGCGATTAAAAGAGCTGGACGTGCATACGTCACGGTACGCTGACGTAGGGGATGAAAAACAAGTCGCCGCGTGTCCACCCCACCGAAACACCGGAAAAAACTTGCCCGTTTCGTTCGTTTTTCCCTGATCCTGCCTGGATAATAACCGGTTACTGCCTGAAATTTTGATAATCAGTCCGCGTGCTCGCTTTCCGCGACCGGATTGCTTTTTCCATCCACCGCGATAACTACTCTCGCCGTACCACGTGTACACCTCGGCTAAACTTACGCCATTAAACACTTTCCACGCGTGAAACAGCTGTGCCTTTTCATCGACAGAACTTTGGAAACTACACGTACCGCTTGGAGACTCGATAGCCTAACTTTTTCCTAATTTCCGACCGGAAATTCCCTTCTTCGAGCTCCGTTTACCACCCTGCTCTTGGCTGGAGAGGTGCGAATTTACCCCTTTTGTGATCATCTTTGTCGTTAACGGGGTCGTTGAACTGTTTCCAAATTTTTCCATTAGAAGTCTGAGAGGTGCGACTTTACCCCTTTTGTGATCATCTTTGTCGTTAACGGGGTCGTTGAACTGTTTCCAAATTTTTCCATTAGAAGTCTGAGAGGTGCGAATTTACCCCTTTTGTGATCATCTTCGTCGTCAACGGGGTCGTTGAACTGTTTCCAAATTTTTCCATTAGAAGTCTGATTTACAAACTCTGTCTATGAGCTTGTTCACCTTTGGGGGTGCGAACTCGTGGAGAACGTTAAGACTCTTGGTGGCCACCTATATCGCGAAGCTACTCGGTCGTTGCATTTTTCCCAAATTCTCAAAATTCCGTTCCTAATAATTTTATTGTATTGATATTTTTGAATAATATAGTGATGAGCTAATAATTTTGCATAAATAAAGCAATCAGAATCTTTAGGTTTTATTCTAGCCATTTAGGTTTCAATAAATTTTGATCGAATAATTTTATTATATTGACATTGTTGTCTAATATCGTGGTGAGCTAAAAATTTTGCATAGATAAAAGTATTAAAATCTACAGGTTCTACTCTAGCTCTATATATTTCTATAAATTTTGATTGTAATAACATTTTCGACTAATATCATGGTGAGTTAATAATTTTGCATGAACAAAGGAATCAAAATTTATAGCTTCTACTCTAGTTATTCAGATTTCTATAGATTTCGATTGAATAATTTTATTGTACTAACTTTTTCCACTAATATCGTGGCGAGTTAAAATTTTGCATAACTGAAAGAATCAAAATCTATAGGTTCCTTGTTCACGCTTACAGGGGTGAGCTGAGCCCCCTTCCGTGATCATCTTTATCGCGAAGCTACTCGCTGGTCGAGAAGGCAACGACGTCTTTGTTCGAGCTCGAGCGAGTTCCCGGGTCGTTAGGATACGATTTGGACAGCTGTTAAGGGTTCGTTCCCTTTAAAAGAGGGTTCGCCAGGCTGTTCTCGCGATGTTTCCCCTTAACGTTCGCTTCTGATATGAAAAGGGGAGAAAAAGGGTCAACGGGATGAGGATTTAGCTGGGCGGGTGTACGGAGATACAGGCGGCGTGCTCAAAGAATGACACATGGACGCGGCACGTAATAATTCATCGCTTCTGCTCATTTTCCCCGCTAGCTCGGACTTGTAAATCCCCAAGTTTGCAGTCGCCCTGGTGCTCGAATGGAGATTAATGTCGGAAAACGTGGCTCATGCAGTCGCGATCCTTGCATCCAGCTGGACGAGCGCAGACGCCATTTATGAAATTGTTCTCGCGCGGAAAGCGTCTCAGCTGCGAATACTACTCGCGATCGTTCCCTCTGATTTATCGTCGCCATTCCTCGCAGAGATTCCGTCGCGATTCGACGATCGCG